AACGGTCATTCGACAAGAGAATTGCCGAATTCCAAGTCTTTAGTTACGGATATGACGAAGATGAATACGTTGACGAGTTCGGAGACAACCGTACAAAATGGTTTGAATATTATACGACAACACAATTTGAATTCGACTTTCTCGAATTCAACGCAGCAACCATTCATATCATTGCTCTTTACCTTTCCGAACAACAACAAGACCTCGCAGATGGAGATGTTGTTACTGTCGTCATGAAAACTCCTGAACAATTCGGAAAAAAGAAGTCTCTAATTGCCAAATTCGTTCCAGGACATCAGCTTTTCCAACGCACAGAAGTCTTCTGTATTCCTGGAACTAAGTTCTTTGTCAGGAGCGAACTCAAAGAAAGATATAATGTGTCATTCAATTACACATTATATAATGTTTTCGACCCAGAAGAAGGCTTCTTCCCAGAAGCAATGGAGGAGGAAGAAGAGGAGGAAATACAAGACTCTATCCAAGAAGAGTCCTCCGAATTCACACCAGAAGACTAACAATTTTCCGAATAAAAACTTCATTTATACTAAACATCTTCGGGGCTAGAGGGCGCAACGCGCCTGGAAGCCCCACTTACCTGACCTAAATATTGAAGATATACATATTGTTATATTGTTTTGTAAAAGAATTTATAGAACTTTTTAAAAAACTGTTTTTGCAAAAATCTCGGGAACATAATCCCCTCAATTTTATTTGAGAAATTCGTAAACTATTCAAAATTGAGAGCCATGTTCCCGAGATTATTGCATTACTATATTTTTGTATGTAGATTATGTTTTATAATTTAATCAGAATTAAGTAGCAATTGTACAATTGGCCAAACAAGATATATCGTCGTTCTTAAAACTTCATCAAATTGTTAAAAAAGTTAGAAGTAATGGATTAATGCTTGCTATACTCAATTTATGTTTTAATTTTTTTTATCAAATGTAACATTGACAGCTACACAGAACTTCAACAATCATTTTCTTATTTATTGTAATATCGATAACTTAATAGAGACTGGTATGAAATTGCATAGTAAGTATATTCAAAATATGCTTTACACATTTTGATTTTTTTATTTCATTGCGCCATATGAATAATGCGTCTATTTTAAAGATATTACAAATTGTCAACTATTGGATTACGAGTCGATTTTGAATTTATTCAAAAAATTGAATATAAATCGACTTTAAATAGATTATTTTCAAAATTAATTTTAATATTCTTATTATTTATATACGTTCCAATTTCCAGTTTCTAATACTTTCAAACATTTTTCTATATGGAATAATGCATCGTTCACATTAATTGGTGAACCATATTCTAAATGATGAGCAGAGATTGAATCATATTGTAACTCAAATAATTTACAACTTAAACAGAAACCTGCCAGAGAATTTTCAGGGAAATTCGCTGTAACGCATATAACAACAGTATTGTCGGCCATAAAAATGCATTTACAAATGTTTGAACCTACAGGAGAGAAAAGAAACTTAATCTTTTTGAAATCCCTGGCGCATTCAATAAGATTTGTATGATTATCTGGAATAAATTTCCAATCAATTGTTGGGAACTTTGCTTTTGCTGAATTTATTACTTCATCAAGATTATGAATATGCCTTCTCTTGCCTTTAGGCCTGTTTGTAAAGCAGTATTCAGATGGTGTAATTTTATCTAATTCGAATTTTTCATGCAAGAACCGTTTAAATCTGTAAGTGTTTGGCCCCCATTGACTGATGTAAAAGGTTCTATTTGCAAAACAATGGAGTATATCAGCCGAAATATATTCACCTTTATTTTTTGGTAAATATATTCTTCGATCTGGTAAAAAGCCTAGAAGATCCAGGAGTGTATTATAGAGAAATGGCATTGAGAATACAATAATATGTGATCTCCTTCTAATTTCTTCAGGAATTAAAAATAGTGGAGTGAAAAAATCTTCAAATGAATGGCCAAAATTATATGTTGCCCATAAATATCCTGTAACAATAACCTCGCGGTAATGGCCTACAACACTTGCATTTGTAGCGTTCCTTTCAAAATCTGTTGGTTGGAAAATGGTGTTTTCATCAAGACCTACAGCACCATTAAAGCTAACATATGCTCTTTCAAGTCTATAGTGTGTAGTCTGAAGTGTCTTGTAATAAAAGTTGTAGTCGTGTGTTTCTTTCGGTTTTCTATATGAGAAATGGTATTGCGTAGGATCTTCTATTGTTTCATTTATATATCGTAATACTGGCCAATTTTTTTCTAGAGGCACATCAATTTTGCGCTTAACTTTAAAGAATGATGCCGGTGTCCAATCCGGAGTTTCATATCCGAATAAAGCAAATTCTGGATTATAAGAATAAATTTCTAGGGCTACAAGAAATGAACAACTTACTAGTAATGAGAAAAGATCGCAAATAAACATACTCTGACACTCTAATATTAATTTCTGAATCGGTTTTACATCATTGAGCAATAATTATTAAATCTTGAAAATTAAGGCTGTATATGTAAGATTCCTAAAGGGATCAAAACTCTGACATAGAAAAAATTATATTTTTGAGATACAAATGGGTCGGTTTGATCATTGAATTAAATTCAATTTTTATATCACCTCAATCAATTATTTGTCTGCTGATAGAGTTGTTAGATTCCCGACGATAGGTGTCTTGGAAGATTTGCCTGGTGTCATCATAGTGTCTTTAAATCAAAAATTTTATTTTGGAGTTAGTTTTATTGATTTTTCAATAAAAAACATTTCTAAAACAAGAAAATAAAACGATAAAATATTTATATTTTATATAAGGATCTTATATATTTAAAATAAATATCATTTTATTTTTTTCATTGGTGTCTGTCAAACCATAATACACTATTCAAAAATTCAATGTGTCTTGCGGTTTCAAAAGACACCTTCAAATTGAACGATAGCACAGACACTATTGAATTTTACCCATTGTATTTAGTTTTTACCCTTTTTATTTTAAGAATTAATGACTGAAACAGCCGTTTTGCTATGACCTCAATCACTTTTATTTATTATTTTAAATATTATTTAATTTTATTATTTGAATAGGCCAACTTATATTTGAGAAGCTCAATTTGAGACCACTTAATACATTGAAATATCATAAATATTGAAATATTAAAAAGTGTATTTCAAAATATTGAAATTATAAAAATTTATAATACTGAAATTGAGACAAATTAATAAATTCAATGTGTTTTTTTTGAAATAACTCTCAAATATTTATTTTGTTTATTTAATGAATGAATTGATATGAATTGCTTTTTAGGTCAATCAGTTAAAAACTAATTTTAGTGTTTAAAATAATGAAAGGATAATTTTGATCGTTTATTTTTAAACATACAATTATTTGTTGATTGTTGCAAGATATCTTTGATATAAGAATATAGATATAAGTGTTCCGTGATTTTTGTAAAAATCGCTATCCACGATCCATGATTATTACATTAAATTACGATTAGAAACGGAATGAAAGAACCAAAAGTGTGTTTTGGTGTTATTTGTTGTTCGTTGTGGATGGCGGGATCTGACGTTTATATATATCTCCGACATCGCCCCACCCCAAAAAATTTGGATTGAACCTCTTACACCACCCTGTAGTCCAGAAATACAGCACAGCTCCTACTCCACCCTTCACATCCGCTTTTTTTAATATTCTTCCATCACCTACAGGATTTAACACACGTTCCACTTAAGAGAAAGAAACATTTTCTTTTCAATCCTATTCGCGCCCCGCCATTATTTCTACACGCCAATAAGGAAGCGGATAAATCTACTAAGAACACCCATAGGTGTCTTCAAAACGCAAAAAGGGCTAATTTTTTTAAGATGATGTTTGTTTAGTGACAACACGCGCTAAGATCAATGTACTGTGAGAATACTGGGAGCTATGTTTTCATACTAATATCTATCAATAGAACAAAATAATCGGAACCGCAGACTTGAAATTTCTCAAAAATTCAATTATAAAACAAGATGTTTAGGTTATGGGCTCGCATAGTAATGGCGATGAGAGACTATTTATGAGTAACTATTGTGGAACACAAAATTCTCTAGCAATATTGGTCAAGACCTCTCCGCAAATTTC